CCTTTGAAAGACTGTTTGCCAGGCCTTTGCTGAATGTGAATGAGAGGAATTCACATTCGTTTAATAAAAGGGGTTTTATCGGGACCAGGAATCGGCTTCGTGCTTTTGGGGGGAAGAACAGACTGTGATAAACGCTTTTGTATACTAGAGGAAGGAAAAACCCTCACCCACAAGTCCCATCGGCCAATGAACATTGGACCAAAAATGGTGCTTTGGGTGGGTCGAGAAGGTGGGGTTTTTTAGTTGTCTCTTTCATTCACTGTTCTGTCCCCCACCCAACTGGGGAGGCCAGCAAAGGAGGACAACTTTTCCAGAAAGAAGTTATTGCTATCTTGGAACAATACCTTCCTTTTCCTCAACCTTCCAAGCTTTTCAAAATTCAAAAAGTTGTGCTTATCAACCTGAGGATCCTAAGGGCTGAGTTTTGGTCAAGGAGCCAAATTCAACCAGGAGCAAAATTTGGATGGATTTCCACCCCACCCCACCACCACTGGCACCGTGATCATCAAATTCCGCTTTCGGAATTTTTGCTAGGTGGTTAATGGTGGGAGAGATCACACACCCCTTACTGGTTTTGGCTTTTCACAGGTTAATAAAAGGAGGGGGCAGCACCAACCTGTCGGAATTTTGCCCGTGCTTCCTTCTCTTTCATTCTTCCATGAGCCACTAAGTAGTCAAAGACTTCACCTGGAGGGAGAAAGAGAAAGAGAGAGAGAAAGAGAGAGAGAGAGAGAAAGAGAGAGAGGGGGGGGGGAGGCAGAGGGGGAGAAGAGAGGGAGGGAAGGAGAGAGAGAGGGAGAGAGAGAAAGGCAGGAAGGAGAGAGGGAGAGGGAGGGAGATAGAGACAGAGAGAGATATGAATGAAGCTGTCTCTTCATTTGGAACAAAAATGGCATATAAATCAGGGATATGCTGACTCTGTAAACCACTTTCAGAGGATTGTAAATGCTTGTAAAAGCATTGTGAAGCGGTATATAAGTCTAAGTGCTGTTGCTATTTTCCTTCCCTCCCTCCTTCCTTGTTAGAACACAGAATTGCAAGCAAACTCTGCCCNTCTAGTATTGTATTCTACCTTCTATTCTATTTATATTGATACTGATAGTTTCCTGATTGCTAATTTGTACCCTATGACTATCATTAAGTATTGTATCTTATGATTCTTGATGAATGTATTTTATTCTATTTTATTTTCCTTATATACACAGAGAGCAGATGCACCAAAGACAAATCCCTTGTGTGTCCAATCACACTTGGCCAATAAAGAATTCTGGTCTATTCTATTCTGTTCTATTCAAAAAGAGCTGCATAGATTAGGATTCATCGTTGCATCATTCGCGCGCACACAGCACCCAGAAAAGCAGGTCTGTGCAGTGGGTGGGAGGTGTTGACTTTTTCCTGGGGGAGGGGCGCAAAGTCCTTGCAGCAATGATCCAATGAGGCTCCCTCTTCCTCCCGCCCACCGTTGTTCAGTTCCCAAGTCCTTTCCCCCCCCGCCCCCCGGTCTTAATTTCCAACTCGATCTTGATGTATGACTAATGTTAAGGAATCGATTTTCAGATTTTCGCGTGTGACTCAAGGGACACCAGCTGCTTAAGGCGGCTTTATAAGGAAAGGAGGAGGAGGAGGCAGGGACGACCCCCCCAAGAGAGAGGGGATTCTCCGGCCTGGGGGCTGAGAACGGGCGTTTCCGAAAGACGGCTGAATGAGGAACTTAACATCCTCTCCTTTAAACCAGGAATCCCATAACAAGGGGGAATTAAAGGCAGTGGGGAAGTCCAGCTTTGAGGTGAGCCCTGAGAAATGAGGGTCAGGAGTTTGCACCCTAACCTAAATGGTTGTTGCAATGAACGTGCTATTCCTCCGTGAGAATTTTGCTTTCCAGTTTGGGAGGGGAGATAAGGGACGTTAAAAAAAAAAGCTTTTAAAAAGATGGCACTGTCAACGCCTGGGTGAACAGTAGGACTGTGTTGTGGCTTGCCAGCACAGCTGGCAGCCGATTCGGAGAGTGAGGAGGGTTGGGGAGGAACCTGGGCCAGTACTGGAGTCTGGGGAAGGCTCTGAGGAGGGCTCTGTGTCAGAGGCAGAGAGGGGGCCAGGGCCGTCTGACGGTTATCAGCTGCCTCCGGATTCAGACATCAGTGAGGCAGAAGAACAGCTGGAGCCTGTTCCTAGTGTGCACATGCGCAGAGCTGCCAGAAGAAAACAGCAGCTCAGAAATCAGGATTGACTTGCGAGTAAAAAGCACAGGTGGACGGTGAATGGCCCCTCCCAAAGGAGCGAAAGGGGAATGGAGTTTGCAGGAGACAATTAGTTCAATTCATTCGGGTGAAGATCTGTTCCTGACTTCTTG